GTAAATGAATTTTAAAGAAACAAAATCAATTAAAATCATGCTTGGTTTATACGGTAATTTAGGTGATTTAATGCTGGTTAATACACTATATGATACAGATTGGTGTTACAGTTGCCCTATTTATTGTTTTATTTAGTAATTCCAAGAATTTCCAGCATTCATTTTGAAACTAAGCCCCCTTATTTCCTTTGCAAAAGTAGCCTTGAAAAGAAGTCTATCTCAAAAAGAAGCCCATCCAACAATCGCAAAAAAAGAAAAAAAAAAGGCAGCCCAGGGTTTCAATTTGAGGTTTTACGGTATTCTCACACATTGGTGTGAACTTTGCATATGTAAATAACATGTGTTAGCAGAGAACATGGATATTTTGGGCTTGATGCGTCATCCAATAAAACCTAACACTGTCGGTATATTCAAATGAGTCCCAAAGACCAGCTGCCAATTTGTGCTATTTTGTACGACCTGTGTGGATATCATGATACCACATCCTGTCTCAACAACCTAAAGAACGGAAACACTTCATAGAGAAAACATTTAAGTGATAAAAATATAGGAAACCATGTTTTTTAATAAGTTAATGACCAAATAAAAAAAAGCTGGTGAAAATAGCTCTTGTTTAATCTTTATGGTGTTTGGGAAGAAATTAAAATGAATTAACAATTGGTTTTGCCACTGTCGACTTTTATTTAAAAAAAAAAAAAAAAATGCAAAATGCATACAAATATTATGTTAAAATATTTTGTCATGTACTCAACCCGGATCATACCATTATGGGTTCATGTACTGTATGACTATTACATCTAGGCCTATGCCCACTCACTTTAAAAATTCTGGATTTGGACCTAGTACGATGTAAGCCAAACAGGCCTAGGCATTGTGGTTAAAAGAAAAGAATTAATACATTGTTTTTTTACATTACATTACTTGTTTCATGATATTGAACACCATTAAAAATATATGTAGAAATATATATTTTGTGCGTATTGTGTGCTTGTAAAGGTTCTATGGACACACATCACATTAATGGTGGAGGCAAATCACTTGCAGTCTATATTGCAACTGACAAAATGAAAACTTTTATTTAAGAAAAAGATATGTGAGCCTGGGTACTACGTGCAACTAGGTTTCTTTGAAACAAATTTTTTAATTGCTTGAAATTATTTTTAGAAAAATATGGATTTTTTTAAAACATATCTAGCAGAACTTGCCGAATAAGTAGCAAATTTCTTGCTTTGGGGTAAAAGTTTAGAAAGGGAAATACATTTAATGATAGGCCTAATATACAAAGATTATAAATTTATTTAAATTGAGGAAACATATTGTCCTCATAGAGAATGGAACTTAATAGGAGAATGCACTAATACTAATAATCCACAGGCATGTCTCTCAATTGTCTGACAAAAACAGTTAAAACAGAATTATGAAAGCATTCAGTCCATGCTATAATTAACATTATTGCGTACTATAACTTTAGATGGACAATATTATATGCAGCTTACAGATGTACTGTATACTTTAGAAACATCAACATCTTATACATTTATTCAACACCAAACTTCATGCAAATATATTCAATACAATATAATATTAATGGACATTAAGCTTCAGGTGATTAAATCAATCCCAGGAAGGTAACAGTGCATAACTTTCATATTAATAGACCTTATAAAATACTATCCATACAGGAATACTGTGTTCAATGCATGATCAACTAAAGCTAGAGTTTCAAAATGATGCCAATATGCCACACTGATTTTTACATACTGAGTATCGTCGCCCCAAGCAGCTTTACAATTTAAATTAACATGTAAATATTTAATAACGTTTAATTGCTAGATGTGATAAAGTGTTGCAATCGCATGCATTTATCTTTTGCTTAGAATCATCTTATTTGACAAACACATATTCTTAATGGCATGAACGTCCTTTTTGAAGTGTAGATGAATTATTTGTAATTTTGATCATAATTTTAATTGTCTATTTCTGACTATTCTATAAAGATGTTTTAACAGAATAATAATGATAATAATATGTCGTTCTTATATAGCGCTTAATGCCTTAACAAAGCTTCTAAGCGCTTCACATATGGAACACATTGAACACCAAATTAAATTATTAAGTTAAATTATATTATTATTCCATAATATTGCGACTAGTAATCAGCGCAGTTGTGTTGGAACCTAACCACTAGGTATCTGATTCAATACATGAGGGTACAATAAACACAAGGATAGGCTTAACCATAGTCCTGAGAGACCAATCTGATTATTTATTTAAGTCAGCATTTTCCCTCTTACGAAGGGTTACTGACTTTCACGCCATGACACTGGACCGTCATAAGGAAAAACAGGTTTTCCCATTCTCCATCGGGGGTTTGCACCTTTCTTTTTGACGTAGGCGGGTTTGGGGTTTCAAGTCTCCGCTGCGCAGATTCGCTTGTGTCCTTGGGCAAGGCACTTTAGCTACATTGCTTCAGTCCACCCAGCTGTATCACTGGGTACCAGCAATCTGCTGGGGACTAACCTGTGATGGGCTAGTGTCCCATCCAGGGGGAATACAACTCTTATCCGCTTCACACTACAGAAACTGGGGATCAGCTCCAGCCCTATGAGCACTTGTGGCTCGGAAAGGATTTAGTTAGTAGTAGTAGTAGGTGCGGCCCACGGCAACCTTTGTGCTGGTTGCTGCCCTTGTTTTGTTTGTCTTAATTTCGCTATTGGAGCCTGCCCTGGCATACCACTAACCCATCACCCTCGGGAAATGGGTGGATGCCCCTTGGTTCCTCCACAAACTCGTCTGTGCTTAAAAATCTTGTTTTTAATCCTACCGGGGGTCCACACACCCTCCTCACTAGAGTTGCCCCAGGTGGGTGAGCTGGTTTAGTTTCCAACCATCCGACTATGAAAATTTATTAAATTCGGAATTTATTCGAATAAAACGGAATTACTGGTACTTTATAAAACTTAAGATAAGGCTCAAAGCTGGTGCTGAGTTAGGGTTACTCTCATATCTTGGCCTTTGCTTTGTATCAATTTTTGATAAAAAAAAATTAACATCAAATTTGTATACAGATATATATCCAAATAATGAAAAGCAACATAAATCATTTAAAAACTTTAGACTCATTGAAAGTAGGAGTGATTAGTGACTCAGACTGTCAACCTTTGACATCAAGGTTTGAAAGTCTCACTGCACATTTCGCTGACATTCTTAGGTAGGGCACTTTATCTAAGTTTGTCTTTCTCTTTACCCAGAAGTATAAATGGGTGCAATGTGTGCTAAATAGGTATAATAAACCAATTGTGTGGGACGGAGAAGTGACTATCAATCAAATGTGTTTTGCGGCAGGATTTAAACGGTGATACACTGCAGACCGTACAGGCTGTGAAAGGTCATTTTAAATCTCTGGAGAAGCGTTTGAAAAAAAAAAACCCCAATAATTGCACATTTTCAATTATTAGATGAATACAAATATAATTGATGTGGTAAGTATATACAGTGTACCCTCCAATCCAAGACCACTCTAAATGCAAGACCCCTCTGACCAGTTTATCACAGAACCAAATCACAATCTTCATTCATTTAACACACAGCTCTCATTGGAGATCAAACCCCGAGACAAACCCAAATTTTCAGGTCCCAAAAGTGGTCGCGAATTAGAGGAAGAATTGTAATAGAAATACAATGATAGTTAAAAATGTTTAAATAATGTTTAAGTCGTGGGAATATCACCACAATATGGAAATCTACACCGACAGTAGGCCTATGCTAGGCTCTAATACTTAAAGAAAGAAAAAGAAAATCAAAAAATTGTAACATTTAACAGTTTTGATGGCTTTTATGGGTTTATGAGTGTTACATCAAGTTGCTATAGATACTAATACTTGTGAAATTTCTTGTGCACTTAACAGGCTTTTCTGAAAGTGTTCAATACAAATGTTCTACAAATCAAACTTTACGGAAAACCGAACATCATAGGCAGTCCTGAGAAGGGTCGGTATTTGGAGAGTGGACGGAATGATATTTGATTGCAATCAAATTAATAATAATTATCAAAAAGTGACCAAATAAATGTACTGAAAATTTGTTAAGCAGTAAACTGTGTTGTTGCAGGAAGATTTTGCTATTTGTGATGGAGAGAATTGCAAAGTGCATGTACTGTAGATTGTACAATGTGCACAACTCACATAAAAATATTGTCAAATCCATTAATAGACTGAAATCCTACAGAGGTATTTTGCATTTCTCTGTACACAAAACTACAGCTCCACATCCTCACAGCTTAAATGAGACTTGGCTTAGAAAATCCTATAATTGACTCTGCAAGATGTAGTTTATGGACCTCAACAATCATTATATTTTGAAGAACATACGATCCATGTACTTTGATGCCAGTAAAGTGTTCCAAATTAGGAATGGTGTTTTGCTCTACCTGATAGTCAGTACTTCTTTAAATACTTGCGAAAATAAAAAATCTTCCAAGTGATTTACGTGGGAATCAAACGCACAACCTGCAGATTAACTAGCCTGGTGTCTTTTAGGGTTGAATCCCTATGTAGAAGCGGGTACTTCATTGCTATTCAGATGGTCTTTTTGCTTCAGAAAATTTAATAGGAATGATGTTTTGCTCTACCTGACATGTTATTGCGCTTAGTACATTCCCAGAGATTCATAAGTGGGTTGTCTATGATGTGCACATTGATGATGACGATGATTAAAGATTAAAAATATGAAATTGTCGCTGCCAATTGTAACAGGTAAATTGTCCCTTGACTCCAAATGAAAAACTGACCATGGCCAGGTTTGAAACAGGATCTTCAGGGCAAGAGGCAGGAACCCCTACCTTGATTGCACAAGTCAAAAACTGCATTAAAGCGCCAGTTATTATGAGGAAAACTTCGGAGAAAACAAGCATCTCGATGATTCGATTACGCATTTTTATCATGCTACATATTATGTTAAAAGAGATGAATTTTTAAAATATATAATATATGTGAACCTACCACTTGTAAGATTCTCAGAAATCCTGGTAACGTACACAGGTAGCTAGACTGAAGCTGCACGTCGGCATCATCTTTTTTCATGGTTTCATGGACCTGAGCAGTTGACAAATCCACCTCCATTAGATGTGTGGCTGGCTGCTTGGCAACACCTCCCACATCGTCAACTAGATCATCCTCCACCCTTGGCCCATTGTCCTCGTTGTCTTGGTTTTCTTCCATTTCCTGCAATATAAGAAATTATTAAATTTGTTAATTGTTGATCTGCAAAACAAGCTACTGTATTCTCAAAAGAACATTTATTTACATAATTTAAAAAATGATAATAAATAATGAACAAGAATCAAAATACTAAAACAATATTAAATATAGTGTTATCATAGTTAAGAAACTTCACGTTTACTTCAGTTGAAATTTATTGAAATTTCACTTGAGATAGTAAGGGAAAACATTAAATAACTTTAAGGAATGTTAAAATAATTATATAACACTAAATTCAAAACGAAATCACTATGTAAATGTTATACCTGGTTTAGAATTTATCTTTGATACACTTTTCTTCAAATTGCAGCTAAAATGTCTCCTTCAATGATGCCATAAAATTCTCTTAGATTCCGAATGTATCCATCTACTGTAAGCCTGCACAGCATAATTGATTAGCTGTGATAAATACTTTATAGTGTGCCTTGTATCTCTTGGCAGTGTGTGGTACTAATTTCTTTACTGTTATTCTTATTATTATTACTGAAAACATACATGCCTGCAAAGTATCATGATAATATATTATCTATGATTACATCTGTAGATGCTACTCATCATTAAGTACTAAAAAACAATACCAGTCACACACAACAACAAAAGCACTAACAAGACAAACAGCAACAAAAACAATACTCGCAAGTTATGATAAGAATGATTCTACAATAATAATAAAAAGAGAGAATTAGCAATAAATAGCAACAATACAAAAAAAACATTAATAATAATTTAAAAAACGTATTCAAAAACTGTAAAAACAAAAATAACCAAAGAATGAAAATAACAATAACAATTAAAATGAAACAATCCAACAACAGTAATAACATCGACAACAATCAACAAAAATAAAATAAAAACAATAAAAGCAATATTATAATCATCATAATAATATTATCATCATCATAATATTTATATTAAAAAACAACAACTTAAATAGCAACAGTAGCAGTCCAAGTGATGCTCACGATGCCTTCAAATCCACCATGACACATTTCCCATGTGGGCAGCTTCACAATAAAGAAGACTGTGTTTTTAAAATGTCTCGGCCGTTACAGATCCATAATGATCATAATAGGTTATTTTAGACCTTTGCAGCTGCTATCCTACTATTATTTAAAAAGGCAGAATGCTGCATTAGTAATAAGTAGTACTGAGGCCTGTTAACGCAAAAAAAAAAAAAAATCTTTGCAATTCTCTGGTAGTAGACACTTTATTGAAACTGCTCACAGTTCCTAATTATCTTAGAATTCTGCGAACAATTTTACCAAGGAAATTGTTGGGAGTGAATTCCAGATAGGAAAAGACGAGTGCTTGGCCAGAGGTGTAAAGATGGATAACATAAAATGAATCCCCAAATGCATGCAAAATTTGGTCATTGTAAATGATTGATAGGTACACCAATTTAAAGCATTAACAAACTATGAAGTCAAAGTCATTTTGGAAGACAAATTCATCAATTATGCATCGTCATGTTCATGATGGTACAGTAGAGACTAATACAGCTACTTATTGTATATTTTCTAGAAAAGTTTAATTAAAAATATAACACAAAGAATGGAGTGTGGTCAATGATGAAAAGATATGAACATATTTGGTATTGTACAGAATGCAATAAAGGGTAGGATGATGAAATAGATGTTCCAATTTTTAATGATGATTCTATATATCTACTTACAGAGTAATAATATTGACAGTCTTTCAGGAGTAGCTAAATTTGCTTGAATGATTGGCTGCCACCGAGTAATTCTGTACGTTTATCTGGAGGAAAATTATATAAAATGCAATTTCTGTGATGTGCTTAAATGTCCCTGGTTGCTATAAGACAGCATTATTTTTATATCAGTCATATTAGCTTAAGAATTAGATTCTAAGAGGCCAGGGTTCTTACAACCAGAAGTCAATTATATAAGCTGAGGCAAGCTGATACACTTTCTACATGAAACTAGACACAAAAGCGAAAATGAAATAAATATTTTACACTAAATACTGTATTTCTAGATCAATTACTACTTTAACTATAAACAATTTATGTACAGTATGTGATAACCTCTGCCAGCATGTACAGGTATGTATGTCTCTAAAACCTACAGTAGGTCTGTCCTATAAACAGTTAATATGCAAAATTAACTTTAAATCTTTTTTTCTCAAAATGATTTCTGACAATATAAAGTTAATAATTTGTTTATATTTGGTAAGATCTAAACAAATTTGAATATATAACAGACTTGATCTTTCTCTAGCCTGAAAATTGCAGCTTTTTTTTTTTTTTATAAAAAAATATGTTTTTTGTTTGTGTTCTGGACCTTATCGAGGCTCTGACTCTAATGTGAGCAATGATTTCATCCTCAAGTTAAACTTGAGCATCGTGTTTTAGTTCACATTAGATATGGTGGCAACATACTCTTTTATGAAGTTTAATTATTTTCATATCATGTCCATGAGTTCAGTTAGTTAACGTAGGTAGTGTTTGCTGTAAAGTTGCTCTGACACTGATTTTATGGGGTCAAATTAGGCAGAACAAGACAGAGGGTATTTTGAGTCAAAGTTAAGTGGGTCGTCCTAATACTCCAGAAAATGCAGTAGTTGTTGATTATATTGGATGAATCAACAATGTGATTAGTTTCTATGTCATTGAATATTATATATCTTGGCATATTATATACTAGTGTACCTCTGCTGCAGTCCACCTTGTCCTTTTCTCAAATTACTGTACTGCCAAAAAATTATTTAGAGCTTAATATTTGATATCATATTAGCATAGGAAACCAATGTAAAAAATAGTTGCATAGAAAAGTGCACACTCAATTTAGGTAACTGATCACTTGTGCTCTTTCTCAAATAAAAATCAATGATTCTGACAAAAGTAGTATGTGGAGGGATGACAATCTAATTATATATTTATGGGGTATAAGTACATTCATATTTTTAGTTCTATTGCACTCTTCATTTCAGATATTTTTTAGTTAAGTGTGCATGAGCATTGGAAATATAACAATTATGTAGAATGAATGTAGAAAGTATTTTACCTGCCAAGGAAAATATCTTTTATGGACACACTAAGAAGATAATAAAGTTCAAAAAGATTCATAAAAAATTTAGTGAATATATAATTATTGTTGTTTGTGTTTTTGTAAATATTTAAACAGCAACAATAATATTTATAATAATATTATTAAATTGCAACAACATTCATATAAAACATATAATGTAATCATTTACTGTATCTCTAGTAGGCTGAGTGCTTTACAGTAAATGCACCTTGATGAGCTAGCTGCATGTTCTTTTGATTCTTAAAAAAAGGTTGCTTTCAGTGTTCACAGGTGGAGGTGCACAGACAGCTTACCAATTAAATATGGAGGAAAAAATAAGGAAGAATATAATTTTGCAAGGAGTAATGTGCTCCATTGAATAACATTTACAAATTTTGGTCAATCTTATTCCAGAAGGTTAATTGCATCACAATTTGTAATTGTACTGGCCTCACCAAAAATGGAAAAATGGATGGACAAATAATCTTGTTTCATGAATTATTCTACCTAACCTAGGCCTAGGGCCAAGGCCTACTAGGTTACACGGCTAGGCCTACTAGGCTACTAGGTTACACATTCAGTCCAGGTCCACCAAAGGCAGTTAACCAATTGCAACTTACCTGAACGTAGGCTTAACTTCCTGTTACTCTAGCCTAGCAGAACTAAATAAGCTTTTGACCTCGGCCGGCCTAAGGCTCAAACAAAAACAATAATAATACAGGGTTTGTCCTCTAAATTGTATAGCTAAGCTAATGCCAGGCCTAGGCTAGGCCTTCCAATTCATTTTTTAAGGTTAGATTTGAACAATCTAGCTAGGCCTAGCTAGATTATAATTTAAGCTTGAAAACACCTATTGACTGAGGCAGCTTGCTGAAGAAATCAACTTCCTGTCAACCACATTTGCAATATATAAAAACAGACAATTACTAAGTACAAAATATAACCTTTTCCCTCCAAATTCAGTCAAAAATGTCATTGGAACCATTAATAGCATCTATAGAGGGCGGGCTGGAAGTTCTACTGCAAATTTCAGAAAAACTTGTGAATTCTGACTGATGCAGGTTGCCTATTTCGGGTAGCCCCAACCCAGACAAGCGACCTAGCCTAGGACAGTCTTGGCAATTATGGAAATTTCACGGGGCTCTGTCACAAAATACCTTCCTATATCATTCTATAATAGAATAAATGTACCATACTACCTTTAATAAATACAAAATAATGTGATATAACGCGTCTTTAAGACTCAAAACCTGAAAAATATTAGAAAACCTACACTCACCACTTCTCGTCTCGCAACTCCGTGTTATTATGAACGGCACTGAGTGACATACGACCTATTACAGGCTCGAACATAAAATGTTATATATAAAAATATATTTATTTTTTTAAACATATATTACAGCCTATATTACTTTAAAATATTACTTATTAGGATGCTATAAATATTTTATTGTAATATGTGTATTAAGTTTTTATTAATGTTATATTTTGAAATTAGCTAAAACAATTAATGTACGAGACTAAAAAGTTATGGTCTGTTTGTTTTTATTTCTTTCCTCAAGGAACTTGAAACTAGTTTTTTAGCATCTTCGGATATGTTAAGTAGCGATTATATTTCAGCGTTTTAATCGTTGTAGTTGTCGGTAAACCTTAATTCCATTATATAATAATATGGATATATGTTACTTTTTTCAATATTTCTCACTAAATCACAAGAGGGAGCTATTTAATTTATTTATTCATACGATTATACAGGGTTAGTATTGTAATAAAGATTTCGACTAAATGCACGATTTTACGTCTATTTTCAAACGTTTCTGTAAGTATTTGTCATATATTAATGTAAAGTAGTTTATATAATTATATCACAATACAAAAAATACTTCATAACTATATTTCAACATAGTAACATATATTTTCAAGATGATAAAACTGCTAACCCAAATTTCGGTCGAGTGGTATAGGTCTAATAAGCCTCATTAACTTGTTCCTATAATCTTGTTATTGCTCATTTGAAGTCCTATATTATTCTACAATTACTTTATATCATCTTTACAATTAATAGCTTGTATACAATCTAAATTTCAATGATAAATGGCATTAATTGAATTCACTGACTTGGAATGGTTTGTGGATAAAGACATTGGAATAAAGTAAACATGTATCTATGATATCTGGATATTTAGCAATTTAAATGACATGTATACATAGATACAATACCTGCTGTCATTATGTTTTCTGTCTTATTTTTGCTATTACATTAGAATTCGAATGAGATGAAGACGCAATGGTATGCTCACATGGGACAAGGAAAAAACGTTCAACACAATAAGGGAGAATCACAGTGAAAGACAAGGAAGTTCCCCGTCTTCAAGAGCCTAACTGGGACCAGCAAAATAAAAACAAGTAGACAGAAATTCCCTTACATGATACTTATTAATGAATAGACAATCTGTCGATATTTTGTGATCTAACAATTCGCCAGTGTCTCTGCCAATCGGAGTTGTACACGTGCGACTTCAATTAGGTCTGTGACTGAAGGGGTGACCGATTCGGCCGAAATCACAGCTTCGTCTCAAATAACGCACGCTCCTCATTATTATTGGCTTTTGCCTTACGATTCTGGGCGGGACCGACGCGAGAAAACTACAAAGCAATTCACTAGAGAGCCTATTACTTATTGGCTACTTTTTGGAACATTTTGAATATAAAAGCCCTTGATTACACATTCTGCCAGATTATTTTAGAAGTTGCATTGTTTACATGTTACTTACTAGATATGTGAGAGGCCTAGCCAACTGATTTAAATAGTCATTAAATTTTATACAGCCCCTGAAGTAAAGAAGTGATTGATAGGCGAGTGCTAGCAACACGAAGTGTTTACGCGTCTCTAACGAAATCTGCTCTATCGGCGAAGCAAGACCAAACCACCGGCATTAGAATCGTGTCCGTCTTGGAGTTAACTTGTGCCTATCACGCGAGAGCAGCTCCAGTTAGCCGAAAATGGACCAGTGGCCGAACAGTACTACATCTAGATGCGCGCTTGACGCTGCTGACTTCCATGGCAACTTCAATTACGGTGCCTACGGAAACCTAAGCCGTAGCCTTTCTACGATAACAGCGATTGACGAGGGAGCACCAGTAGCGACTTCTTGCCTTTATGCTAGACCATTTCAGCAGCAAGTTTCTTCTTCTTGTCAACATCACAGATACATAGATGACTTAAGTCCTGACTCGTGCATCGATTTTCCAACAAATGCAAGCTGGAAATATCAGCAACATAAAGATATGAAGTCTTTGAACGATAACTTTATTCCAATTAGTAACCAGACAAGTCCAGTACATGCGTCCACGTCGACCATCATTCCGTCTCCTGAGCAAGACACGTTTCCTACAAGTTCGCTCGTACCTGAAAGTCCAATATCGACATTTGAAGGTAGGCTCAATTCTTTCTTTATACACTGAAATGCAAAATTATGAAATTTAAAAGTCAATATAATAGTTTTATACTCAATGCCTCTTATTTACTGGAGCAACGAACTTTCGAAAACGGTAAAAATATAAATGAAGTTCTTTATCAAATTGCGCCACTTTTGTTAGATTTTTTGTATTTTTTGAATGAATTTTTATGATTTTGACGATGAAGACATCATCGCTCTAATACATTTCACTATAAAATATTTTCTATTTCCTTTTCGAAATTCATACACTCTATGCCTATTTCAATATAAATCATATCGTAACTTTCTTGTTTTTGTGCCTACAACACGATTACTTGATTCAGCCTGTACACTATTCGTTAAGTATGTAGGCCTAAGTACGCACTTAGCCCTGCATTCCAAATTGCGCCAAATCGGCCAATATTTTGACAGATTTAAAATATTTAGATATTCAGCTTATGAAAAATTGAAATAAACTGTTTATTATAAAATTCGCATTTTTATGATTTTTTTTCTAGTATATGCGTTTCTTACTTTTATGTAATTTTACAAAAAAAAAAAAAATAAATATGCAGTAGCTAAATAATATCCAGGGTGTCCCACAGCAGACGCATAGCTTCTTTGAAATTTCAACTTTGACAATTAAAAAAAAAAACATGACAAATTTAAAAATTGTTTGTTCGTTCAGGAGTTTTCGTTCTTAGAATGGAACCGCATGTTTAAGTTTTGTATGCATACCGGAAGGCAGACTTGTATCCATTGTTTTGATTTCCGTGCATTGAAGAACATTTCATTGGTAGTTTCTGTTCAATACAGATTTCCATCGTCGCATTTAACCTGGTCCTCTTTTGTATTTTCTGCTAAGATTTTGACTTTGAAATTGACTCCAAAACCGCAATTTCATGTCAACATACATAACATCCAGAGTCACCCAAAGGTTGATACCGAACTTTTGACTCATGTCTTCCTTATCGTATTGTTCATTTATATTTTTATAATGTTTTTGGAACTTACCTGGCGCACTAACCTAATTTAAGTAAAGTGTGGGTCAAAATAAAAACGGGAAGTAATAAGGCGCATTATGAGAGATGTTTTGTTTTTGAATGGCATTAGTATAAAATAAAAGGTAAGTTAGGAATGTGAATAATGAGGTTTGCTTGATCTAATAGTTTAAAATAATGAGGCAATTAAACTAGCAGAAGCATTGTCGGAAAGCCAATACCTGTCATGGTTCTTCTTCAGTAGTTACATGGTAGAGTCACATGACCCCACAGCATTTAGGCCTACATTATGTAAGATTGAAAATACAGGTATTTGCTAAAATTGTAAAAAAAAAAAATTATTTATTCTTTACGTGTGCAATTTAACTGATTTCAGATGAGAATAAAATGTATTGAGTTAAATTAAATTTAAACAAGATAGTCGAAAATTAACTAATGTAAATTTCAGACATACAGAGTCTTTAAATATAATTAATTAAAACCATTTCAAATTGTTTATTCCTTCATATTTATTGCTGAACAAAATGTTAATTAAATTGTGAGGGAAAGGAATAAAGATATGGGCATAAAGGACAAAAATATAAATGGATAAACAAATTGAAGTCAGTTGAAGTTTAGAAAGTTTAATGATAGCTGTAAATTAGTATTATTTTACCATGGAGGGTTCAGCGTCTCAGCCTATGTAATAATTCCATCAAAGTCCCTTCTGCCCTGAGATAGCTTAATTCCCGACCCAGATCAAGTCATTCGAGAAACGGCATCACCTAAGAACTATAAAATGTCGCACAAATTACGGAATGAAAAAGCTATAAATTTCGTATTTGTAGTAATGTTACTGGTGAGCAAGGAAGTCACTTGTTTAGCAGATTTTTGACAAACCTCACGAGAGCTACCTATTTTACCTGTTCGTACTCAATCCCACTGGGTCTTTTCAGTGGAGGGGTTCGATGAAATTTAATCATGACGTGTGACTTAAAACATATGTATATTTAATGTATTTTAAAAGCTAATTAAATTACCCCCCTAAAAAAGCCAACGAGAAGACGAGCAATGCTAATGTATAATTTTAGTGTAGTTTATACCCTGACCGGTCAAGAAGTATACAGGTAATACGAGTTTAGTTTGTAGTTGAGCTTGAAGGTGTCGCATGCTACACGCGTGGCGACAACCGCTATCCGGTTTCAGCCTTCGTGGCGTTCGCGTTCCTAAGGTTATACTCGAGTTTGGCACGCACGTTGCGGTTAAAGAGCACCATCGCTAACTGTACCACTCTGACAGATTTTTTTGTTTGTTAGTAAACTCAATTGTGGGATTTACACTCAGTTTAAAACGAATTTTTTTTGCTTTAAATGCGAAATCTCCTGTCAGAATTTCAGATGTTTTAAGTCCATGGGTTTGAGAATGTCAAGCTATGAATGTAACTCCCAATATCTAAATTTGTGAGACGTGACTTTTTTGAAATAATATAATTCACCACACAACATCCGTCCGAGGAACACGTGTCCTGGGCTGGGTAAAAATCAATCAAATGATTTTGACAACATGAGGCGCAATATAAATCAATAATTATTAATATTATTATTATTAATATTATTATTATTATTATTATTATTATTATTATTATTATTATTATTATTATTATTATTATTGCTATCATTATTATTATCTACTAACTCAAAATGAAAAAAAAAGTTTTAACTTTATTTAAGTAGCCATTTTGATATTATATCACACCTTTATTGCTTGTGTCAGTTGTTCTTGGGCCTATGGGGTTAAGTACCTACTCACGGTTGTATACAATAAACTCACTGACCGATATTATCGTATGACATACGGTCAGGATTTTGGTCCATAGTGAATATTATGCTGTCATACCTGAGATGCTCCTATCATCAATGATCAATGATGAATATAGCACCTGTTGCGAGGTTCGCATTATATGCCAAAGGGACGTATCCAATTGTCAATGGCTTGGGGGAGGGG